CCACATCCAGATCATACATAATCAAAGTGAAAATGGAGTGTAATTTTTGGCCCTTCTGTATGCATTGGGCCAGATATTTAGTTGGGACCAGTTTGCAGTTGTCATGGAAACCATGAACTAGGTTCCGTTGAAACCTGCTCTCAAGGCATGGAACATAATGTTTCCTAGCATTAGAACCCTGGAGAACATTTTCAGTCCCTTGACAAGGTCCGGAAGATCAAATAGGGAGCTTGTCAGGCAACAGAATGGCCAGTACATGATAGAACCCCCAACTTTCCCCTACCGCCCAGCTTAACACATAAGAATTAACACTGCATCCTCTGGTCACAATCAAACTTTCTCTTAAAGCCAGCTAATTTTTGGTAATGCATTAGTTAACTCCCCATTCTCCTTGATAGCACATTCCACAGTCTTCAGCTGTAATCTGAAGTAGGGAGAAGGAGGGGTCGGTGTCTTTTCTCTCTTGCTAGTAGGGTGTTGTTGGCTTCTCTTGGCCTTGCTCTCCAAAAAAGCAATCTTTGCGATTGGGTTTGCTTACAAATGTAGTTCTCCTGTTTTTGTGCCAAAAACCTACCTAATGATTGATAGGCAGAAAATACTATTAAGGAGAGTGCATAGTTCTTGGGTTTTTTTTGGCCCAGAAGAAGTAGATGATTGGGGAAGATACCAAGAGATAGTAAAACAAGGACATACAAAAGAATTAAAAACAACTGTATCCATTTTGCAGTGTATTATTTCATGAATCTTTTATTTATATTCTCCTGAACTGTTTTTCTTCTTAGTTCCTCTTTAATCCCACTCATCCCCCTATCCCAGTGATGGCGAACCTTTTAGAGACCGAGTGCCCAATACCACCCCCCCACCCCATCCCTGCTCCACCCTGCCCACTGGGCCACCCACCATCTCCACGGCCTGCCACAGATCACCCAGGCAGCTCAGCAGCGCCATGGTGGCCATGCCCTCTGCCCGTGCCCCGCAGCATCATCTGCGCGTGATGGGGCACAAGGGCAGAGTCTTGTCCCCGCTGCCCGGCTACCATGTCCTTGGCTGTGCTGTTTTGCGTGGGCCGCACCTGGGGGGAGACTCTCCTCTGGGGGGGGGGCTGCTGGTGAGGAGGGGGCCATGGGAAGAGGCGGGGCTGGGGCAACGGTGCGTGTGCCCACAGAGAGGGCTCCGAGTACCGCCTCTGGCACGCGTGCCATAGGTTCGCCACCACTGCCCTATCCTAATGAGCTGTGGTGGCGCAGTGGTTAGAATGCAGTATTGCAGGCTAATTTTGCCAACTGCCAGCAGTTCGATTCTGACCGGCTTAAGGTTGACTCAGCCCTTCATCCTTCTGAGGTCTGTAAAATGAGGACCCAGATTGTTGGGAGCAATACTCTGACTCTATAAACCACTTAGAGAGGACTGTAAAGCACTGTGAAGGGATATATAAGTCTAAGTGCTATTGCTATTGCTCTCCTCAACCAAACTAGTCAGTGCATTTCACTCTGATTTGTAGGACAGTGAAAGGTGAACACAGAATACGCTGAAAAGTTTCCTGATGTGATCCCTTTGTAAAACAGTCACACTGAACATGTACAAGAAAGAAACAACTTCTTCACTAACTCTCCTTTGCATCAGGATAGTCCTTGGGCAAACTGATGTATTTTTCCTCTGTTTTTCTCTTACAGGAATTTGGCAACAAAAAATCCATCACTTCAAGGTGTGACTTCATTGAGCATCTCATCGCCAATGGTTGTGCAGGGCATTTTGAGAGTAAAAAAAGCAGTGTTAATATAGTAAAAAACCTTCCACTGAGCAGTAAGAGCTCTAGTGGTTCTAATCCAGATGTGATCCAAATAATGCCTCAAAAGATCTCTCTGAATCTGCAGCCTGGTGAGTGTTACCAAGCGTTTCTCATCCTTTAGTTTAGTTTAGACTAGGAGTTAATGTTCCGCAACATCTGAAAGGCCAGGTTCTCCACTCTTTTGAGACGAGGGAAGAACGTTTCGCATTTTGGCATTAAGGGAGCAAGTTCTGCCTTGTTGTGTGCTCCTCATTCTTCTTCTATTTACAAAGTCTAGTACTGGTATTCGGCAAGCACAATTTGTGTTTTACTTCTGAAGCCTGCAGTGAAGGATTCTCAGTCAGGATCCAGTTGGTGCCCCATAATCGTGAGATGCTGCAAAATGGCCATAAAGGCAGCCATGTTGCTGAGTGCCCAGAGTTTGGTCATGTGACTGAGAGGTGTCTGTGTGATCATCAGAATTTCAAATCTGGGTTGTAAGTAATCCCAAGGTGGGTTCATTGTAACTTCATATTGTTGCTAAGTGACCAACTGTAAGTCAAGGAACACTTATACTGGCTTTCCAACCATTATGGAGCAAATTGATAATATTTGCATAGCTAAAAAGATGAGATCCAAGTTAGGGCAACTAATCTAAGTTTCTTATAAACCATTATAAAGATAGAGTTGTCCTAATTAATTTCCTCATTCCTGGCTTATTTTCTGGCAGACCACCAGTAGACAGCATACAAATTGTTGCAATAAATAATTAAATAAATAAATAGGCTATGGCGAGACAGCTGTTTTTCAGTGTTATTAAACTTACTTTTTGAACGTTGAATACGTGAGATCAAAATTTGAAGAAACCTACCATTCATCACTCACTCACTTCCAGAAATTGTAGATTCCCATCCTCCAATCCTCCAAGGAAAGATTGAAGGCAAACGAGGTCCAGGCAGAAGAAGAACATTGTGGCTTCAAAATCTGAGGGACTGGTTTGGACAAAACTCAGCAGCACTTTTTCATGTGGCTGCTGATAAAAACAGGATCTCCAACATGATCGCCAACGTCCGATAACGGATATGGCACAAGAAGAAGAAGAAGAATTATGAGAAATATCACCCCCTTCCCTGTACTGCTCTAAATAACAAAAATGATTCGATTGCTTTGTCCTTATGAATCTTGAAGTTCTGATCTAGAAACTAGAGATGTCCCTATTATTAGTTACCTGCCAAGATGGAAATTAGAATACAAAAGCTGGAGATTTTACTGTGGGATTAATTTGCAGAGAAGAGACAATGGTTGATTTTCAACACTGGGTTACAGATATTTGACCTTTCATTTTCATACTTTCTTAAGGGTGCTTTATAATGTAGCGAAAGGTCAAAATAAAATTGGGATTCATTTAACAGTTTTGTACAGAATGCTTGTGTTGTATAACAATTCAATCAAATGAGAGACGGAGTGAATGTTTTTCTGCCTTGCGTTCCTCTCATTCTGCAAATAATCATGTATTAAGGGGTGAGCCATTTTGTATTTTTCTAGTTCAAGTACATAAGATGCCCCTCCTGGTGTATATATCAAGAACTTTAACAGGGCTAAACTTAGCATAAACCCACAAAGCCCTTTGAGGTTTTTTTTTCTTTCCCACTACAAGTATAAATGCCTTGGATTTTCGCATCAATACAATAATTTTATATCAGGCTTTAAAAAGCTTTCTGGGCAGTGGTAGGCAATTTTATCTTTCACGACGATTTCTCATGCATTTATTCATAACCCTATTAATCAAGGTAGTGTTTTGACCCTTTCAGCTTCAACTCTGTCAAGGGTGGGCAACGTGAGGGCCTCCAGATATTGTTGGATTGTAACCCCCATTAGCCTTCACTACTGGCTATCCAGAGTCAAAGGGAGCTTACCTTTCCACGAAATCTGGAAGGACACCCTTTGTCCACTTTTGCGCTAGATGAAAAAAAATACAGGCAGTTCTCACATTCATTTAGCGAACTGTTCAAAATCACAATGGCACTGCAAAAAGTAACTTCTGACTGTTTTTCACACTTAAGACTGCTACAGCATCCTCATGGTCATGTGATCAAAATTTGGACGCTCGGCAACTGGCATGTGTTTATGACGGTTGCAGTGTCCTGGGGTCATGTGATCACCTTTGGCAACCTTCTGCCAGCTTCACTTAACAACCGTGTTACTAACTTAACAACTGCAGCGATTCCCTTAACAACTGTGGCAAGAAAGGGCGTAAAATGGGACAAAACTCACTTAACAATTTTCTTGCCTAGCAACAGAAATTTTGGGCTCGATTGGGGTCATAAGTTGAGGACTATCTGTAAACTGCTTGGAGTGATTTCGTGTCATATGTAAGATGCTTATGCATTTATACCAAACTGAATCTCAGAAACCCACAGAAAAGCAGTAACTTCCCCGAGGTTGTATCTGAGTTCTTAGCCATTTAGTCCAGCGGTCCCCAACCTTCGCGGCTTGATGGCCCGGCTGGGGGGGGAAGGAGAGGGGAACTGGGCCACATGAACTCCACTCGTGCAAGAGAGTGGAGAGGCCTTTGGGGCACTGCTTATATGAGTGTAGCTGTGTGCGTGTGCATGCCCACAGGCCTATATCTTGCACAACCTAGTTCCAAATAGGCCACGGCCCAGTAGTGGGCCGTGGCTCAGAGGTTGGGGACCCCTGATTTAGTCAATATACTTCTTAAATTAAAGATGACTAGTTTACAGTATGTCACCTCTAAGTCTCAGATGTCTAAAACTGTACATTCAAGAATTGATCTATATTTCTGAGTTATGGTTATATGTTTTTCAAAAGTTATAAGTTATTATGATCAGTTATTTTTCCCCGTTCGTTGTCTGAATAAGGGTGTTCCTAAAGAAAACGTTCATAATATACAGGTAAAATATTCAAGTTAGATTTAAAACCATATTTTATAGCTCTCTATTGATAGGGATTCACATTTGATTCACAACAAATTCACACAATCGGAATCAGCCTCTGCGAGCTGAGGCATGCTGATTTTTCCTGGAGAATACATTTGCAAAGACAAAATAATTGGCCAATGGGAACAAACTCATTGTGCCGAATGGGGGGCAAAATGCTTTTTGTTCAGCTGAACTCCCTGTCACATCCATCATTTCTGCTTCCTGAATCTTTAGGCAGCAAGTGAAATTCTTATTCGGGCAGAATTAGAGAATTGTGTTCCGTGCAGAGAACCTGATGAAATCAATATGGCTTTAAATATGGCAGAAGTCACAAAACATGGAAATTAGAGAAAGCAATGCTACAGAAACACTTCACATTCTGTAGCCTACATAAATGTTGCAGTAACCAATTTGTTGGTTGTGCTAATGAGAAACCTTGATCAAACTTTGCACTGGCTTTTAAGTTGCAGGGGAAACTAGGGGCATTCATAGGGAAACATCACTTCAAGCCTAAAGTAACCCCATTTTTTTCTCTGACCCCATAACCTTCTTCTTTGCTGTTCTCTCTCTCCCTCCCTCCCTCCTTGACCCTCTTTATCTTTTCCTTCTTTGTGTGCTTCACCCACAACTTTTCTTTAATTCCTTTCCCCAGACCCTGTCTGTAGAATCTTAGTTGGCCCTAGTTACTGGAATAACAATTCAACAATTATTTCAAAATTAAACATATCATGGTCTTTTTCTTTCTCTCTCATCATCACCTTCCTTCCATTGTCATCGTTACCTGGAAATGTGTATGCATGGAAGAAACACTTTGTATTCTGTTGCCTTAATTGTGCATGGCATAACTGATATATTTCTGCCATTTAAAACTTTGTTTACAAAAGCTTTGCATACCTTAAGGAGAGAACAGTCCTGCTAGAGCTATCAGGGATGGCTTTAGTTATGGAATTGCTTTTCCTGTTTTGTTTGCTTTATTTCGTTTTGTTTGGGGAGGCCTTGAAACTGCATAACCATTTATTGATGGAAAATTCTGAAAAATGTCATCCCAAGTACATGAGAGCTCTTTATCCTGGTTTCTGAACAGAAGGAGGATTACGGTTGTAAACACCATAATCTCAGAGCTACATGCCTGGGTTCTGCAGCTGTTACTTAGACAAAATTATTTTTACTGTTTCATCTTTATTCATGGGCTTTATTATTCAGACTACAGTAGGAATTAAGGTTTCCAGGCCAAGTTGCCGTTTAGAAATAGCTCTTAATCTAAGTCATATTTTACAAAGCCAGCAGAATATATGCATTGCAGTGTAAGGACTTTGACTTCCTCCTTACTATTCTGAATTTTTTTTTCAGAAGTAGGTAACTAATAATTAGGCTGTGTGTGTGTGTGTGTGTGTGTGTGTGTGTGTGTGTGTGTGTGTGTGAATTGTTTGGGTTGAAACTGCTTTTGATTTAGGAGGAGTACAAGGTCTTCTTTGGGGCAAGGGGTGATCTTGGCCTTGGAATGGCATCCAGGAATAATATTATCAGGGCTGGATATTAATTCAGATTTAAAGTAGGTTTAAAGGTCAGTGTCTCTGTGATTTCTTTCATTTGATTATATTAAAATTTGCTGTTCAGCAGCAAATTAATGTCTTAGGGTGTTGTCTGCTGTCTTAAATCCCAGGCTGTATTTTTGCATTAAAGTTTTACTCACGGAGCCAACTGTGGTCCTTAACATGACTAATAAATATTGTTATGTTGATATATGTATTTCCATTCCCATCCTCCTGTTTGAACTTTTGGACAAGGCCATTGGGCTGATAGTGCAAAGCAAACTTCAGATATCCTCGGTTATTTGCCTTCCTGGTCCATAACACCCATCACTTGGAGCAGTCTTAATGTATTTATATATACTATAGTCTCTGTCCTAAACCTCCCTACAGAGAGTATGAACATTTGCCAGAAAGAGGCCTTTTGTATGTATCTTTATCCAATCAGTGATAGCAAAGGAGTACAGGCTTCTGTTGATGCAGCTTTATGTGTGAACATCTTCCTGCAGAGGGTGATGCTATGGGTATGAATGTGTCAGAGACTGGCTAGATTTAACATGCTATCGTTCCAGAGGATTGTCATTGCTTCCTTATCTGTGTGAACCTCCGATAAAGAATTGCTGCCTAGGTCTACCACAGCACAGGTGTGGAAATTTTCAGCAAAATGCATGAGGAATATCTTTCGCTTCATTTTTTTTATTTTCATTTTTCATTCTCTGTTTCCCACCATTTGGAAGTTGCACTTTTTGCAGCCTTAACAGAAGGAATGACTTACATGAGATTCATATAAAGAGGGAATGCTGTCTAGATTTTGGCCATATCCATGCTGCAACAGGAAACTTTGTGCAGAAGTGTTCATATTTTAGCCAGGGCACTGTGGTTATCCCTGGCGATGGGGAGGTTAAGAGGATGTTTTTGCATGTTAGGGATTGAGCCAAACGAAGGGCAAAATAAAACCTGTTCCTTTTGCTTATTAATTTGTAAATGATCTGCTGCCTCCACAGGTGACCCAGCCTCTTTCCATGTGCAGGTTCGACAGGTAGAGGATTATCCCGTGGATTTGTATTATTTGATGGATCTCTCCCTCTCCATGAAGGATGATCTGGACACCATTCGGAACTTGGGAACTAAGCTGGCTGAAGAAATGGGAAAGCTCACCAGCAATTTCCGGCTTGGTTTCGGCTCTTTTGTAGACAAGAACATTTCTCCCTTCTCCTACACCGCCCCAAGATACCAGAATAACCCCTGTACTGGGTAAGCAATGGCCTTGGGGTTGTTTTCACAAGAAATGCCAACTATATGTATCATATTGAGCCACAGCTGGTCAACTTTGTTCCTCGGTTTTCAAAAATTGTTTCCAAGTAAGCATAGCATAAAATATCTGTGGTAATTCTAGGAATTTTTCCCCCCATTCATAATATTGATATTGGCATTAATATTTTTTCTGTCCTTTTTAAAGTTACATTAATATAAATACATTTTGGGGAGTGGAAATCAGATTCATAGTGTTCTTAAAAATGTTATTTTGCTGTGTTCTTACATAGATGAATTGTGGAGAAAAGACTGGATCTTTGGAACCTGGCCACTAAAATATTTCCAATGAGATCATTTGCTTGAAATCTGGAAGAGAAAATAACTCTAAAAACTGCCTGGCATACTAACAGAAATCTATATTTCTGTATGAATTCTGTATGAATGGATTATGTAGGAATCTAAATTTCTGTGTGAATTGATTTCTAATTGTGGAACAAATCTTTTTTTGAAATCTTGTGAGGTTTTTTTTTAAAAAAAAATATAGATACCTCAGTATGGGTGCTTCTTGATTTACAACCATTCTTTTAGTGACCATTCAAAGTTACAACAGCACTGAAAAAAGTGACTTATGACTGTTTTTCAGATGTATGACCATTGCAGCATCCCCATGGCCACATGATCAAAATTCAGACACTTGGCAACTGGCATGTGTTTACGAGGGATCATTCCCTGGGGTCATGTGATCACATTTTTTGCAACCGTCTGACAAGCAAAGTCAATGGAGAAGCCAGATTCACTTAGCAACCGTGTTACTAACTTAACAACTGCAGTGATTCCCTTAACAACTGTAACATGAAAGGTCCTAAAATGGGGCAAAACGTACTGAACAACTGTCTTGTTTAGCATGGAAATTTTGGACTCAATTGTGGTTGTAAGTTGAAGATTGTAATACATCTCCTAGGTCCCTTGATCCTTGAGCACTGGTATTCTAATAGTGGGACGACAGGCAAAGCTAATGATAATAAAGGAAGATTACCAAAAGGACATGAAAAATTGGTCACATCCTTCATGCTGCTGTCACTCATCTTGCATTTGTATAACAGAATTATGCCTCATGTCTCTACCAGTACCTTATATACCTCATTATTGTCTTCCATGAAGACAGACAGATGTTGGCCAAAACTATTGGTGGAAGTATACCTACTTATAGATATGTTCACAGTACTTTACTTTTGCTTTATGTCTACTCATTTACTTTGCAAACCTGTCAGTTAGCTTACCCTACTCCACATCCAAAACTGAATTTTTACGGCAATGCTGGTGGTGAAGAACATCAGAGGAAATGTTTGAAGGGAAAAGGGCTAACAACCCTGAACTCATCCACTTAAACTGAAAAATGGTTCACTAAGATGTCTATATGTCTTTGTAATGTAAGCTTTAAAATTCCCTCTCTCTCTCTCTCTTTAAAGATTCATTATATCTCTCTTTAAAGATTCTTTATAACATCAGCAAGAAATATCTGCTTTCAGAATTTGCAGCCAGTTAAGAAATAGTTTCTTAGTCCTGTAATGTGAGCTTAGTATATCCAAAAGGATTTATACTTAAGAAAGCATGTTTAGGACTTCAACCCTAGTTGTAGGCCCATGGATCAATTATGCTGTATTTTTGAAGCATTCCCTTGCTGGAGACTCTTATTATTTACAACAAAGAGGTTTTATCCAGTTTTAAATAAGGCTGGGCATAAGGGACACTGCCTCATTGCAGAAATTAAATGGGCAATGAATGAATACTTGGCTCTAGAAATAAAGCTTTTCGCAGGGAAGGTTGCTTTGTGTCACTCAATCAGCCGTTATTAAGTACAGCATCCTGCTCAACCCCTTTGAACTCTGATCGCACAGCTATAGGGGAAACCAGATTCTACCATTTCTTTGACTCAGTATCATTGAAGAGCAGTACAGCACGCCTGTTTTATTTTCCTCGCTGTAAGGAAATATTCTGTCAAATCTAAAATAAATTCCAAAACAACAGCAGAACACCATAAAATTTTAGGGGCTGAGAGAGACTACTAAGATGATCTGCTCTGAGATAAAACCTTTGCATTTTAATATTTATTTAGTTGCTTACCTCCTTTGTATTTGATTCATTACCAAAAACTCTGGGCAGCTAACAATCAAGACCTACATAAAACAAAAAGTAAAATATAACAACCCCATCCATTAAATAAACAGAATTGACAACATCAAAATAATAAACAGAAAACATGCAATAATTATGTGTCTTCCAGATTCTAACCTTCCCTTATGACACCGTTTCTCAACCTTGCCAACTTGAAGATGTGTGGACTTCAACTCCCAGAATTCCCCAGCCTGCTAAGCTAAGCTGGCTGAGGAATTCTGCGAGTTGAAGTCCACACATTTCCATGTTGCCAAGTTGAGAAACACTGCCTTAGGATATTGTCTTCTCCTGTCCATGGAACAACCTCTAATAATCATGTAGAACAGTGGTGTCAAACTCAATTTCATTGAAGGCCGCATCAGCATTGCAGTTGCCCTCAGGGGGTCGGGTGGGTGTGGCCTACTGGGTGGGTGTGGATGGAGTGGGTGTGGCCTACTGGGTGGGCACGGCCAACTCTACATCATTCATGTCAAGGGTGCCTGTGGGGGCCTGGGCAGGAGTGGGATAGATCTGAGGGTCTCCGGCAGAAGGGGGTGGGACCAGGGCAAGTGCCAAGGCATGGTCCACTGGAGGAGCCTCACTGTTCCTCTCAGGCCATGCGGAGGGGCATATGAAGCTAAGACTGAATACGTTTCAGCATAGATGGCCACCACAAAATTGTACATTGGCTCCCAACTGGCCTGGGCCAGGGCCAAGGCAGAGGGGGCCTCACTGTTTCCAGGATGGCTTCGCGGGCCACATGAAACCACTTCGTGGGCCGCATTCGGCCCCTGGGCCTTGTGTTTGACATGTCTGATGTAGAACAACCTTTTCGGAAGCTTAGATAACTATATTACAAATACAACACCCTTGCAATAAAAGAGGTTGGGTTATGTCTTACATATTATAAACCAGTTTACAGGGAAGTAAATTTTATAAACAAACTTGGGCCAGTTCTAATTAAATAAATGTTCCTACTACTATGATGTAATGCAACTATCTGAAGATATAAGAGCAGCAATGTCTCAGCCAATCAAAGCTTCTTCTACAAAAGTCAGATTTTCATTTGGCCAAGTTATATTTAAAACTGGCTTCTGGAATAATTTAGTTTGCAAACTGAGAGTTCAAGAAGAGCCAACCTGGGATCAGACCAAAACCTTTCTGTTTCTGTTTCTAGATTGGCTAATTAGCTCTCTTGTGGAAAAAAAAAGAAAGAAAGCCATGAATTCATCAAAACAACATGCAAAATATTTCTTTGAACATTGTATTTTGGTGAAAAGTTTGTCCTTTAATAGCAATAGCACCCTTGGCAATTTGTAGGAAATCACAGTTAATCTTGGTGTTATGCCTTGGGCCCTCTGTCATAATTCAAGGCACGGCTGGCCCTACCATTGGATGACCCTTTCCTTAAGTAGCAGATATTGAGTGTTGTGAAACAGGAGGAAGTTACAGTAGTGGCCAAAATTGTGGAAACTTTTTGGGAAAAGTGTACAGTAAAAATGCCACCTTTTATTAAGTTTCCACCAATTTTTCTTCTAATTTCTTTATAACTGTAGCCTTGTTCACTTAATAATACTATTTTACATCGCTTTCTGGGCAACCAGTCAACTCTTTGCACCATTACTTTAATTTTATTACATTTTACAAGCTCACTAAATGAAAGAACAAAAAAAAAACCCAACCAACTTGATAGCGATCACATAACACACTGACAAATACCCTCCTCTCAGCTTCATTACATGACATCAATAACTGTGATCTGATTGGCTCATTGCCAAAACAAGATGACACCTGATTGGCTCTCTAAACACTCATGCTCATTGGCTACAATCAGATGAAGGAAAGCTACTGGATATCAACCTAAGCAAGTTGTGCTTCCTTTTTCTGGTTATTTGGCTATAACTTTTCATAGAATACAGTACAGATAATTGAACAAACTTTGTTGCATCACATTCTTGATTAAATTATCTTCCCATTGATACGTAATTTTATGGTACTACTCCAAACAAAAGTGGTGTTATTAGCCATCAAACCTCAAAAATACACTTTTCCCAAAAGGTTTCCACAATTTTGGCCTCTACTGTATTCCTTCTTATTCTTGTATTTTGTTGCCAGGGAAGTGTTCTTGTCTCTTGTTCTGAAATGTCTTCCATAGTTCCAGGTATCACTTTCTACCTCTGTTTTGACAGGCGCAAAGAACCAATTCCTGCTTTGCCCGGAGCTTTAAATGTCTTGGGTCAGACTAGCAGGAAGAAAAGATCCAATGTTTTGTGGCATCTCCTAAGATGCTCCATGAAAGGGTGATGCTCAAATCATGTTTTAAAAGACTGAGGGATCCACGTGTCTGATGTTTAGCCCATACCAGTTTTGTTTGAGCTTGTGTGGGTGGGGACTGGTTTTTGGCAAGCTTTGAAGAGCAAGTCATTGTTTTTTTATGGTGGAATCTTGCTTAACTGGCTGAATCAGCATCTTCATATTATAGAGAGCTATTAGTACAGCACCCAAACAGGTTCCGTATTGCTTAAAGTTGCAGATTCTGTGCTAAGATTTAGAATTACAGTCTTGTTGAACATCTGAGGACTCCTGTGCCTACTTGTAAGAGAAAGGAAAATTAATGCGAGATAGTTTTTTTATGGTGTAGAACTGGTGATGCAGGACAAATGATTTTTTTTTAATCATCATTTTTCAGTTTTGCTTTTCAAATGGACAACTAGGTTCACTCAAGTTAGTATTGGTAGTCTTCAACATTTCAATATATAGAACTTTATGGAAAGGAAGGACAGCATAACTGAAACATAGCTTACTGTAGACAGCTAATGATCCTAAACCTACTAATCTCTTCACATTTATATTATTCTGATTATGACAAAGAAGGAAGGTTGGTATCTTGTTAGCAAATACATTATGAGCATACACAAAAACCAAGCTATTTTCATTGGGTATGTTGTGTTCATGTAGAAACTGGGGACAATAGTTTATATAAGATTTCAAAAGAAAAGTTCATGCAATTTTATTCACTGAAATGGAGCATTAATCTTCGGGGCCTATCTAGGTTGAAGTTTCTGTTCCATGTAATTATTTAATTCAATAGTCAATCACACTATTCCTCATATAGCATTAGAAGCTGTTAAATTTCTAAGCTAAGTTTTTAATATCTATTATTATTGTGAATATAGTTTCTTTGCCAGCTGGGAGAATCTGAGATATTTCATCCAGGTATCCTTCAACTCAGTCAGAATCCATCTATATCAGGGGTGTCAAACTGCCGGCCCGCGGGCCAGATGCATCATGCCGAAACCGCACCCACCCCATTGCCGGCAATGGCAAAAAAGTCACGATACGTCGCGACACATCACGTGACGTTGCGAGTTTGACATCCCTGATCTATATCCACAAGTGAGGCAGGACTTTTGGGATCATACACAATCAGATGACCACAGCTCCGTTCTCTGATGGAGACAGGAAAAGTGTGATCCTTTTAAAAGTAAAGGACAGCTTTCTCCTTGTCCGCAGTTGCCTCTAAATGAAGTAGATTTCTCCAAAAAGCCGCAGGAAATTGAGATTAACAAAGTGAAACTTTTCTTTTGTAAAATTATTATTTTGGTAGGAATGGATAACCAGTCTAGTTATGAAATGGTGTTACAATTTCTTTCTTTCTTTTCTGTGTGTGGCTAGCTCCATCTGATTGTCATTTAGTTTTGGAGAATATTGTGTCATTTCAGTGGTTCTATTTATATGGGCTATTTTAACTTTAGAAAACCCCTCATGTACTGAAGTTCTCATTCATCCCTACCATTGAATAATTCTCAGAAAAGATTCTGCTCCCCATGAGTCAGAGTAAGATGTGTCTAAATTTCTGTTTTTCAGCAGCTTTGACGGGTGTATGAAATGTGATGATATTTTTGTGCTAATATCAAAAACAATGTGTATTCTTTCTTTACTTTTTAGATATAAGTTATTCCCAAATTGTGTCCCATCCTTTGGGTTCCGCCATCTTTTATCCCTCACTGATGAAATTGATAGATTCAATGAAGAAGTTCAGAAACAGAAGGTTTCCCGCAACAGAGATGCTCCAGAGGGTGGCTTAGATGCAATCTTGCAAGCTGCTGTGTGTGAAGTAAGTAATTTGGGCCTCTGTGGGAATAATAATCGAAAGCAATTCTGTATAGCATGCTGATTGCCAGCACTATCAGCGATGGAAAATGATACATGAACATGCCTTTATTTGAGAAATCGGTTCATGAATTCTTATTATATTTGTGTTATGTCATAAGTACATCTTAGGGATAGGTTGCTTTTCCATGTCATCTTGGTTGTACTGTATGAAAAAAATATCTTTTTTTCCTCTGTATTGCTGGTTTCCCTTCTTAATATCCATCTGTATCTGAAATACAATTGTTTTTACCCATCTCACCTTGCAGGAGGGACACGCTCCAGGTGCTGTCAGCTAAGGAATGATGGCTGGCAGGGCCCAGGAGAAGGAAATTTTCTGCCATGGCACCCACCATATGGAAGATAATTCCATCTGAGATTAGGGTAGACCCAACCCTACTGGCCTTTTGTAAGGCCCTAAAAAATTGGTTTTAAGTTTGGGGCACCAGGAGTGTGATACAGACCCTGTCTTGGCTTTGTCATTTATAAAGCTCAGCTTCTGTGTTTTATTTTTAATCTCAAAGTATGAATTTTGTTGTCTTTATCTATTTCATTTTATGTTGCCTAGATTCACTTACGTGAGATGTGCAGCTACATCAATTGATCGATGGATGGATGTGCAGCTACATCAATCCATCGATCAATCAATCGATCCATCAAATAAATAAATGAAATAAAAAGCAGAATGCACTGGGTATCTGTTATTTTCCGTGCCTCTTCTTCAAACAGTGGTTGCCTTTTGCACAAAGGTTTTGATAAAACGCGCATTCTTTTTGCCTTTGCATTTTGCTGAGCTGTGTAGCATTAGGACTTAATTGTGAAGGACCTGTTGTAACAATGGATGTCTTTGACTGTGCTTTTGTTTCTATTGTCTGCTGTTCCTCCTTGTTTTTTTAAAGCTTCTGTGCTGACCAAAACAGAGCCGGCTTCTGACATGCTCAGGAACAGTTGTCTCTTGTTAGCTGTCTCGGCAGAGATTCCTTGGCTGGCAAAATGACCGTTAGGATTTAAACTGCTGCCTGTGAAATCAAACGATAATATAAACTATCACTTTCTTGGAAGGTGCATGGTTTTTTAGGACAAACTAAAGACTAAACTGTTTTATTGCACTTTCTACTAATAATGTTTTTCATGCCTCTTTTTGATATTCACATTTATATCACTCTCTTGAAAATTGCCAAGTGTAGATATAAAATACTGGTTTTTGTTCCAGAGCTGGGTGGGATCGGTAATAGTTTAACATCTACTGTGGTTTCAGTCTGAGAGTAGCCAATGAAAATATAGGCTGAGCATTTATTTTCCGTATGTTCAGCCCATATTAACTTCAAAATAAACACTTTGCCTCTGAATCAACAGTCCCCTTGAAAAATGCTGGCCAATTTTTATTCCAGACTATTTCGGTCTATCCAAGGTAGGAACTTTGGTTCACTGATCGTTGCTGAACTACAGTTCCCAGCATTCTTTATTTCTCTCCATGTTAGCTGAAGTGCTGAGAGATGTAGCTTAACAATATTTGGAGAGACATTATTCTCTATCATGGGTTAAAACAATACTGTTGGCTAATTCTTGCACTCCATGCTCCACTTTTTTCTGTCCATCTTACATCCATTTTGTTTGATGAACATGCTGTAGTTCAGGGGTCCCCAAGCTAGGGGCTGCGGCCTGTTCCCGGGCTGTGGGCTCTTGGCCAGCAGGCCACAGAAATGGCTGGCCAGTGCACGCACTTATGGGCGCACATTCCCCCCTACTCGCGCTAGCGCCCATGGCCCTATTTGCACATGCACGCAGGCGCGAATGGGGACGCTAGCACGGGGCGGGTGTCCACAGCCCATTTGGCATGCATGAATGGGCTGCTAGCCGCCATGGAGAGTGCTCGGCTGTTCATCCATGCGCACGGCACCAGCACATGCCACATGCGTGAACGAGGCTTGTAGTGCGCACCAGTGTGTGGCACCCCATGCATGTGTGTGTGCACGCACACACCAATTTTGAAGCTGTTCTCCTTCCATCTGGTCCGCGAGCCCAGAAAGGTTGGAGACCTCTGCTGTAGTTTATTTAGAAGAGACGTTTGGCTGTTAAACAAAATTGCTGTCCTTTGCTAATATGAGATAAAAATCCCACCAGGGGCTATTCCCACTGTACAGGCATTGGGCATGCTGCTCTGATAATGTCTAAGACAGGGATCTCCAAACTTGGCAACTTTAAGACTTATGGACTTCAACTCCCAGAATTCCTCATGCTGGCTTGGGGAGTCTAGGAATTAAAGTCAAACAAGTCTTAAAGTTGCCATGTTTGGAGACCCGGGTCTAAGATAAAAAGATCATTCATGGTTTCACTGAACTGAACTCTTGAAATATAGTTGACCTCTTTTGTAGCAATGGTATGCTGGGCATCATTAAATTGATCTATTGGTCCTTTCCGAGGTGTTTCAAAATTATGTCCTGCAAATGAATTTATTATTTGGTGCTGTCCCTTTTTATTTAGAGCAGATTTTCCGGATGCAGAATTTAAAGACTTGGGTATATAAGGGGCTTGTTTACTTACATTCCCTTTTCTGCACAGACTTTTAAAGAGTGTGACAGAACTGCTATTTCTTACCTTGACTTTCATGCAGAAAGAAATTGGGTGGCGGAAGGAGGCTTCACATTTGCTGGTCTTCACTACTGATGATGTCCCACACATTGCGCTGGATGGAAAGCTGGGCGGTTTGGTGCAGCCACATGATGGGCTGTGTCACCTGAATGAGGCCAACGAATACACAGCGTCCAATCAGCTGGTGAGAATGCACACCGGATAGTCTTTCTTTTTCCCTTTTACTAAGCTGTTTCAGAATTGCAGTTTACTTCTATGAGGAATTGATCCACGGTGTCCATTGCAGAGCTTGGACACATATTCAAGACCCAAAATAGGTTTCTGTCTACCTTGTTATACTCTCTACAATGTAGTGCTGTTTAAAAAAAAAGAAAAAAAAAGAAAATGGGTAAAACCATTGTCTTGCATTGATATTTTAAATATCTGAATTTCACAAAAACTCTAAAGTCCTTGTGGGCGTAGCACAAATACACGCGCACATTGGATTCCTATATATTTCCTGCAGTATTTTTTTCCCCAGTGTTGGAGAGGACGTTATGACACTCCGAACAATGCTTATTATTTTATGATTCATGCATCTTCATATGCCTGCTTTAGATGCAGAAGCACATTTCCAATCTTGACTTCCAATCTCAGAAAAGCTAAGTGAAATTGAGGCCGCTCAGTGCTTGGATGAAAGACTACTAGGAGATCCTTGTAATTAGACCAGTGTTTCTCAGTTTCAGCAACATTAGGATGTGTGGACTTCAAATTGCAGAACTCCCCCGCCAGCAGCCGTGTGGATAGATCTGGCTAGTCACCCAACATCAAGCTTGACGGAGAGGGATTTTGATTTCTAAATTAACATGGTTTAATTATGCAATAGCTTATATCGGCTTCAGTTATCTCAGTTCCTGACAATATAAATGTTCTCATAGATAAATTGGTAATAATAATATCAAAGGAAAAATAGCTCCTGATGCTTAAACTAAAGGAAGCATCAACAGAGAGTGCTTCAGCTTTCAGAATGAAGCACTGCTTTGTTTTCCATAACCGTGGCATTCTTTCTGTAGGCCAAGCAAAATGCCAACTCTAACTTATTTTTTGGCACTTTAATGAGCCTTTAATGTGCCCCTCCTCCCCTGCCGGAAAGCTTTTCTGACTGGTTGTCCTATGACAGTCAGCCAGAGTGCTTGAACAGAACCATCCTTTGTTTCCCAAGTAAACAAAACAAATGTACATCTTGGTTGGCCATTGCTGTAATTAATATACTAGCCTGGAAGTGTAGTGAAAAGCTGGTGCCTGAAAACATGGCAGGCAAGGCTTAGGAGAACATCAGTTTGCTTTCCAGAGAAAGGTGTGGATAAACTTCTCTGAAAGGTTGCTGGAGAAATGTTAGCATGTAGAGAATGATGGTTATTTAGCGGTTGATCTCTCCCTAAAAGTTACATTCTTATGTGCACTGAAATGTTCTTGTCCTCCACAGTATGGAGCACCTTCTACCAACTTGGGTTGATATGTCGCCACCTGGATGAAGATGGCCTAGCTTTAATGATCTATGCCCGAATACCATGTTTTATAGGTTCCTGCAACATTCCTAGAACTCTAGGTTGATATGCTTTTAGAAGAAAATTTAGCTTGGGAATTTCAGTTAATAAAAAACAAGGCAACAAGATGGAAGCTGGGCATTATTATCATGTCATTGTTCATTGCCAAATGCAGTTCATAGTACTGGTGTTACTGTATACAGTAGTATATAAACGCCATCGTCATTTAACACCACAATACTTGGAATATCTGTTCCCAAATGTTCCAGCAAAACTCTTACATATTGTACATTTATTTATTTATATCCCCGCTTTATTATTATTTTATAAACAATTCAAGGGAGTGAACATATCTAATGCTCCTTCTTCCTCCTGTTTTCTCCACAACAACCCCGTAAGGTGAGTTGGGCTGAGAGTAAGTGACTAGCCCAATATAGTAAGCACAAAGTACTGTAAATAAGGTATCCTATCTACTTTGACAGAGAATAAATGGAAGCATATTTGTAACCTATTCCATCAGTCCTATGAAGTACTGTAATTTCAAAGGTGATGATAGATCCTTTTCTTTGCTGATAGAAGAGAACATATTTTGGTTCATATTCATAGTTGAGTTCAGGCATTTGGCAAATGATTACCGAATAATTCCACAACTGAAAAGAATTCTTGATTGCATACAGTGGAAAGCTTTTAAAGTCTATTTATAAGTAAATCTCATTCAGCTCAGTGTAATAAAGTTAATCTACAGATTTGTGGGCTAAAAGCTGCCTAATAAATAATTTTACATTATCATAATCTTACCTTGCTTTCCTTTTTCTTCTTAGGATTATCCGTCACTTGCACTTCTTGGAGAAAAATTAGCTGAAAACAACATTCATGTCATTTTTGCAGTGACCAAAAATCACTATATGCTTTACAAGGTAAATGCTAGAGAGAGAGAGAAAAAAAAGATAGATCAATGTCTTGTTTAGAACATTTGTGCCAGAAAATCTTTTTTCTGAAAGTTTGAAAAGGCTAGTTTTTGAGAGGAATAGCAGCTTTGAATTAAAAAGCATTTGAGAATATAGTTATGATTGGATTTTACAACCAGAACTAACTAGATAAAATGTAGCTGCTTGTACAGCCTATTTGATAGCCTATTTTCCTATTAGATTCTTTTCTTAATTTCAGGATGAAGCTTTGCTTCAAAGAAGTTAAGTTTTTCTAAAGCAAATGGATAAATATTGTTCACAACAGCACCAAAAATAGCTGTGGATTTAATCTTTCTGGACTCTGAATAACTCAGTCTGCTATTGCTTAATTATATTACATGAAAGTTAATTTCTGCAAAGTAATTTCTCAATGGCATTATTTCCTTTTATTATCCATTCTTTTCACCACAATTAACATTGTCATGAAAAAGATTGAAAGAACTATTAAAATGGTTGAACTTTTGAGCACTTGGTTCAAATTTCAATTTTCTTGTATGCTCTGTTTTAAAAAGAATCTCACGGCCCTAATTCCTGGAACAACGGTCGAGATTTTGTATCAAGACTCCCGAAATATTATCCAGCTTATAGTCAAGGCCTACAATGTAAGTTTATACCTTTTAATTTAAGTGTAAATTATCAATGTAATGCATACTTAAAAATACTATATTTCATTTTTTACCATTTGTGTATTCTTCATTTGCATTTCTTTTTCAAACTTGATTTCCATGTGGGATTAAACTTGACTGTGTGTGAGACATCACTTATTATTTATGAGAGAGAGTGGAGTTAATCAGCTTTCTGCATAGTGTATGTTATATTTCTTGTTATTTGTTCTTTTCCATTGCACCTTTGATGGGATTCTTTTAATCGCCTGCTTTTTTGAATTCAGTCTCCCAAACCTGATAGTATTTTTCTCATCATAACCAAGTCATTAGTATAGGAATATAGCTAGTGGTAGATTTTTTTTTTCTGAACAAAATTCTTCTAGAAAGCTCTTACACATTTTCTCTTGTGTATCTTTTCTCTCAAACTCCCAGTTTAAATATGATCAGGTTTTGATATGTGTTAAAGTGTATAGTTGCTTGGTATTAATATATAAAGTGATCCATGACTATCCAGATCCCAAAGATCCAAGTGAGATGTTTACATTATTTAAAATAGAGGATGATAAACATCTCAAGTGAAGTATTAAAGAATTTAAAGATAAATAAATTATTGAGCTCTATTTTTTTTCTTTGATTTTTATCTGGTGCTTAGAATACTGACTAAATGTGTTCTAGTATCATTTTGTACCATTGTACACAGTCTAGAACACCTTTTGAAATGGCCTTCATTGCCACTGGAGTAAAGGGTCCTGGCATTTTTGTACGTTAGCCCATTTGAGTTATCTTGGTTCATTAATTGTGACCCTATACCTTCCAATTTCACCCAACTGAAGGTTACAAACAAACAAACAGACACAAGAGTTTTAATAATATATAGAACTTAGATTCATTTGTAGACTGTAACCTAATGACCACATGTGCATCACAAAGCAGTCTGTGCTTTTGGTAAACTTCCATGCTATATAACGGCATATTGTGAGCCAATGGTTGGTACCAGACCAGGCTCTTAAATTCTCACCTTGTGAGAATATCTTTGGTTATCTCTGTTTTTGCCTTCTTTTAAGTATATATGTATGCTATAGTTACAGGAAGATTCCCTCAATTCTTCCTTGACGCTAGAGTACTTTAATTATATTTATTTTAAAAGTACAATTTTGCATAAACTGATTTGGGTGGCAATCAGAACCATGAACAGCAGGAATTAGTCTGAAATAATGATGTTATGATAATTTTTGAATTGGCAGCTAGGTTCTAATAATGAAGAAAGACTGAAGAATTTGAGAATGTCATCCAGATGGTGAGAAAGCAGATACTTTATAGACTATGAAGAAAAAAAAATCCTTATAATTCCTGCTACCACCTATTTTCTCTGTTTTGTATGCAATTCATCTGGACAGACCATTTGTTTCTTCATACTTCAAACACTCCCCAATAACTTGGAGCTGCTCATTCTTGGCTGCACCCACCATTCAGGTTTCCTAAGAAAAGATTAGTGTGTCTCTCTGCTGTTCAACAAAACAATTTCCAGTTCATTCGATAATCCAAAGTTTTATGATCTCATCCAACATTTTATTTGTGTAAGAGATAGTTTTGTTTGGGCCTTCTCAAACCTTGTGTGCTCTTAACATTGTGTGATGCTGCTAAATCAGCTATTTGAATGGTTTACTTTGGAAGAACGCAAATCAGAAAACAGTGATGACCAATAATACTATTCCTTTTGTGGTAGTAATAGCTTGTACCTGTTCCATTAATTGTGTCTCTCACAGTCAAGATGCTTTGATTTTTTAAAAAATCTGATGATAGGAGTACCATTTTATGATATTAGGGAATGCTGAATATATATCGGAATAACCTATTACAGTAGCAGTGGTGATTGCATAGTATAGGTTTGAATTCTTACTGCCTGCTCATTGTTTGTCTTGTTTTGGAATGCTTTCTCTATATTGTTTTAAGACAGATAAGTATTATGCCAGAATGTTTATTACTTCCTTTCCATTCATGAATGCCAGAATAGCAGTACTGAGTTTTCATACAGTTAACATATAAAGGTCTGCAGCTGCTATGGCTTGTGAAGCCAAAGTTATCTCATCTTGATAGAGCAACAGCAATAACAGCAATAAGACCAACATAAATGTATCATAGATAATGACCAATAAAGAGAGTAACATTTTCAGTCCAATAGAATTAGAATATGGTTCCCAGACCTAAATGGCCAATGTCCCAGAAGAATTCCATGATGTTGGGAAACTCCAAGCCAGGCAAGGAAGAGAGGTCAAGCCAGGAACTAGCCTTGAATCCTTGCATAGCTGCTTTAGCCATGCTTTATTGTACATTGCTCAGAATCCATCTTTAAGGGAGATGGGTGGTGTCAGAAATAAATAAATAATAAATAAATAAATAACTGGCAGTTCCCCCTCCCCCATCAGTTCCATGGAAACTTACCTCTTCGCAAGAGAAGGCAAGCAGTTTGGGGTGATTCTTATACTATAGGTAGAATAGAGTAAAGTAGTCAACTTGAACATTACATGTGTTTATCGGGTTGCTTGCACTTAACACATGGGTAATGCTATGAAAACCAGAATCCAAAATATTTTTGGGTCATACTTCCCAGCTTCTACCAACCAATTGTCTTCAACGATTTCTGCTATAGAACTGTGTCTATACATAGTAGAGTCAAATAAGAAATCTTGAATTGATTTGCTGCTGTACATTCTGAGACTTTACTCAGGAAAGGAGCGCAGGCAAGGAGGGAGAGAGAATTAATTAATGGATTGGTTTATTACTTTCCCCCAAATGTAGCATCCTGTAAACCACAAACATATGGCCCTACCATTAATAAGAATTAATTTAGTTAATTTTGTATTAATTAGCCAATCTCATTCTGGCAGCTTTCCAAATAACTCGTCCCTTTTTTCCAATTGACTATAAGAACAGGATAATCAGCTGTAGAGACCAAGTTGATTTGGCTGTAAGCAATTTGCCCTTAGGATTTTAATTGTTTGAAATTACTCTGAAAGATATACTGATGAAACGGCATCAGAGACGAACTGTTTCTTCATTGCCTTGGAATAAACCACTGTAGCCATGTTTGAATTCTTCTTGTTTTCCACCATTAATCTAGCTGTTTTCTCTAGCATTTCCTTGAGCTAAACATCTCGGATATCTAGGAATCTGGATTCTTTGTAATTGAATATAATTTATATGAATGGTTGTATCATTTGGATCATATTTCTACCATCTACAGAACAACCAGGATTTTGACAGCATTCCCAGCTTTGTTTGATACTATAGACCAGACATGTCAAACTCGCGACGTCATGTGACGTCGTGCAACGTATTGGAGCTTTTTCGCCATTGCCAGCAATGGGGTGGGCGCGGCTCCGGTATGATGAAACCAGCCCGCGGGCCGGCAGTTTGACACCCCTGCTATAGACAGTCCCTCAGAATAATGAAGGATTCTCTGAGATTCTTTAATCTGCAAGAACAGACAATTCTAACAGATCCTTATCACAGTAGATGTATTCAATTTATTTTGATTTTGTGTAGAAGTTATGTGGAGGAGATGCTTCATAGCTGTCTAATATTGAAAATAGAACTTGCAATGCTCTAAATTTTATGAAACTTACGTTAAACATTGCAACTTTCCCTGGTATACTGATGTGGTGCCTTCATGATGAAAATAAGTGGCTAATATTTTCATACTGAGGAAGCTTCTGAATAGTTGGAATCTATATTCTCTTCCCAAAATATATTCTCAGAAAACAGTTTATCTGTTTTAATTAGAAATAGAGAAAAGCTTCCTTGTTAATTTACGACGTTTATATGTTTTTACTTAATCATGAATAAGTACTAAAAATCTAAACAGCTTTATATTTAGAAAATGATAGATGTGCTTTAAAGATCAGTTCCATTAATTAATCTTTCTTTTCTAGAGTATTAGATCAAAAGTAGAGTTAACTGTCCGGGATAGTCCTAATGACATTAACTTGGCTTTCACAGCCACATGTCAAGATGGTTCATCATATCCTGGAGCCAGGAAGTGTGGAGATCTTCAAATAGGAGACACGGTGAGTTTGCGGTACCTCCATTTGTCAGTTTGGGAAAAATTGGATATTTTCAACTTCTTAAAGAAAAAGAAGCTGGTCATTGTAACTCTATTTTACTGTAATGCAATGGTGGTGGTAGTGGGGAAACGCTTGTCAGATGTAATTTTTTAATGGGGAAATTATACCTCTGATGTCTTCTAAGGTTATCTCAAGATCTCAAAGAATTGGGGGGGGGGTACTGGTTTGAGCCAGCCTGGGCCACATTGTTTAGCATTGCAGCAGTATTAGTATTAAATTATTAGGAGGAATCCCCTCTACTCTCTAATTATGGGGTCTGATTCTGTGCTCTTTTTCTAAATCAGGGGGTGGCATGGTGGGTATTATTTGTAGCAGAATATGCTGCCATTTGTACTGTATGTTGCCATTTGGCAAGGGGAAATAGAGCAGGCTGTCATCCAGAAAAGCAAAGAATCACAAGGACTCCAAAAGAACAATGAGGTCTCCCCCACCGTCTTTTTCTAACAGAGCCCATTTCGAGATGTCACAGAAACAGGCTTTTGAATAAACCTGGGGCAGGGCTACACCCATATGCATGCAGTACTTTCTTTTCAGTTGTAGAACCTCTTCCTTCATTCTATTGCACAAGAACAGGTTATAGCAGTAGATGGTGGTGGGTTTTTTTTTAACCAAGCTTCTCCCCCTTTTTTTTAGCAACAGTTCTGCATTCTCCAGGCACCTTGCAAATTTGTATTCATGTAGAAAAAAGAAAAGACAGCACTTATTTGTAGTCTGAGCCATGGGTCTTTTCTTCTCCAAAGAGTATTGAGCTAAATACTGGTAGAATAATCCATTTAACAAATATAAAACTAAGCAGCTACTCACTTATAAAAGACCATATGTCTTTTCCCTCTATCTCAGTTAATAAACTATTTTAAAAGTCTGAGGAATTTTTTTTAATGTCATCCCAGTCCCATGCATATATATGGAAAAATAAACTCACTGATTTGGATTTATTAACGGTGGAATGGCACTAAATATATAGGATTGTGTCTTTAATTTTTGTTTTAAAATAACAACATTCTAAATAATTCTTTATAGAATAAAGAGTGTGTGCTCTTTGGGGTTCTGGGTTGTATAAACAGAGGCATAGAATCAAGATCACGTGAAGTATTAGTACCATTTTATAAAATCCTAGTAAGACCACACCTGGAATACTGCAACCAGTTTTGGTCAGTATACTACAAAAAAGATGTTGAGACCTTGGAAAATGTTTAGAGAAGAGCAACTAAGATGATCAAAAGCCTGGAGACTAAAACATGTGAAGAACAGCTGCAGGACTTGGGTTTGGTTAGTCTAAAGAAAAGAAGAAACAGGGGCAACTTGATAGCAGTATTCCAGGTTTGAGGGCCTGCCACAAAGAAGAGGGGGTCAGATTATTCGCCAAAGCACCAGAGGCCAGGACAAGAAACAATGGTTGGAAACTGATCAAAGAGAGAAATAACCTGGAATTAAGGAGAAACTTCCTAATAGTGAGGACAATTAACTAGTGGAACAGCCTGCCTTCAGAAATGGTAAGCGCTTGATCACTGGAGGTTTTTAAAAAGAGACTGGACAGTCACTTCTTTTAGATAGTATAAGTTCTCTTGCTTGAGCAGGGGGCTGGACTAGAAGACCTCCAAGGTCCCTTCCAGCTCTATTCTGTGTGAATATGGAAATTAAAACAATACATTTTTAAGCTCAACACATCCCTTAGCATGCAGGCTTCTATATTCTAGTTTGTGTATATAGTAAATATAATATGCATAAAGAGATTTACTTTGCACTGTTAACCAGAATTATGGGTGCTTACAATTATGCAAATGGTGCCTTTGATACTATCTACACATAAATAACTTTTCAGGTTTCTGGTGCCTTTTCATTTTTACTTCTTACTATTCCTATTTAGGTGTCCTTTGAGATAGCAGTAGAGGCTTGGACATGCCCAGCTGAGAACATCTCACACACCTTCACTATCAAACCAGATTGGTTTCGGGACACTGTAGAGGTGACCGTTTCTTACAACTGCACATGTGGATGTACCAAACAGACAGAGCACAACAGCAGTAAATGTAGTGGAAATGGCACCCATGTGTGTGGATTATGTGATTGTAACCCAGGCCATGTAGGAGCCAAGTGTGAATGCGAGGAAGGAGACAGTGGGGCCATGTACCACAACATGTGCCGAGAAGCTGAAGGGAAACGTATCTGCAGTGGCCGTGGGGAGTGCTCCTGCCACCGCTGTGTGTGCTACAAAAGTGAATTTGGCAGGATCTACGGGTTCTTTTGTGAGTGTGATGACTTCTCCTGTCCAAGATATAAGGGCTTTCTCTGCTCAGGTATGCATTAGATTATCTCAAGGTTCATTTGGGTAAGCAGGGGGACACCTCTGTTTTTTAATTATTATTATTTGCTTGCTTGCTTGCTAATGCTTATATGCTCCTGCAATTAAAACTGACTTTGAGTACCTTATACTTTGTAGAATAACATAACATAACGTAACAACAGGACTAATATAGAAACCATGACAACCAATCGTAGCAATCACACATAATTATTAGGAATCACCAGGGGATGCGTCATCAGGAGCAATCCAGATGTACAAGTCCTTTCCAAAGTTCCTCTAGAAAGGGATGGAGATGCCCTTATGTCCAGAGTAAGTAGGCTGTTCCAGAGAATGGGGTTCAGCTACAGAGAAGGCTAGGGTCCATAACAGTACCGTTCCCAAGGAGTTGGGATCTACAACAAGCCTTCCCCACAAGATCTCACCAAATGGGTATGGCAGTCTCAAAGATGCCTAGATCCTAAGCTATAGAAGACTCTATAAGAGCACCTTGAATTGTATTGGGAGCCTATTTCTCTCAAAGGAGGTGTTATCTCATTGGAAGTGTTACAAATCAAGGTGATTCCATTACTTCTTGAACCATTGCATTTTGGTCCATTTCTGAATGGACCCCACATAAAGTTCATTGTACTAATTTAGTTGATTTATTGACCACCACTCAATAAATCTTATGAAAGTTGCTAGTTTAGCATAAGAGTAAAAGAGTTAAGACTTTACTTTTCTCTTATCCTTTCTCTTAATAGCTATATTAAATGTATATTCATTTGGGGGTCACACAACGGGGGATTGTTTCCTAAAGTTATAAGTTAATGCATTGCTACTTTGGTACATAATATATTGTCATCTAGTGGAATCACACTTAAATTTAATGTTCACCATATGAAATAATTGTAATAGTTTCTAGCTAGAGAGAAAATTATCTTTAATCAAGGAGAAATTAGATGGTTTTTCCTTCCCTGGTAATAATTAATATCAGGCAGGTAATGAGATTAAGAGGTAAATAAAAGTGAAAGAGAACCCACAAAATAATATGAGGGAGAATGCTGGATAGAATTGCTTTGCTTGCCTGAGGTTGTAGTCCTAGATTGGCTTTATACGCAAGAAGGGAATGTAAGCAGCAGATCTTATGGGTTTGCTTTCCTTTGGCAAAGACACTTGTTTGTGTGAAAAATATGGACAGAGGATGTTGTGTCTACAGTTCTGGGATATGAAAATTCCCCAAGATGATGGTCATGAAAAGATACAGGTTTGGAAGGGTTTCTATGAATTTGAGAAAGATGTAGTGGCCTGATTCCACCCTGACTAGTAGGGCTGTTGGGCCTTTAAGCAATCTTGCTGACTATTAAGGTCAGAGAACAAAATATCATACAGGAAAGCGGACTTGCAAAACGAAACGCGGTTTTTATGAACTGTACAAAAATAGATTTATATCATCAGCTGAGCATGAGTCATGCTGGACACACATGATTCCCGTAAAGACACTGTCCAAAGTTTAAATGAAGGGGGGAAAAAGGTGAAAATTTTCTGCAATGGCTGAGAGAAAATTTAAGAGGAAATGCAAGATCATTCTTTGATGACTCAGCTTCTTCCTCCTGCTGAAGAGGTTGGGAAGGAAGGAGAGAAACTGAGACCAGAAAAGCTCAAGCAGTAGCCATTAAAGCTAAACTTTAAGACATGACAGGCTGGGGAATTCTGGGAGTTGAAGTCCACAAGTTTTACAGTTGCCAAAGTTGGAAACCTCTGCTTTAAAGGCTTCATAAATAATTACAGTATGTGTTAAGCCTCTTCCTAACAGTTCCAGCAACCCTAGCATAAGCAACACTTATTCATGTCAGACATATCTCTGACAAAGCCCATAAAAAAATGTCCCGTTGAATGCGAAATAGACTGTACAGGAACAGATGTCCCTAAGTCACCAAAGCCTTGTTTGATAAGAAGGATCACCATTTGTTTGTTTATTTTTTTCATTCCTTGAAAAACTTGCTTTCACCACACTGTTCTCAAATAAACATGGAAATAATAGCATATTTTAAACTAGAATGGAAAGTAGGAGAAGTAAATTGTCAAAGTAGGGAAAGGAATGAAACAACAGTTCTGCGCATAGTAGACTATAATTTAAAGCTAACTTCTTCAACTAAGCTTCTTCAATTTAGATAGATAAGAAGGTTCATCATCTCCAGCCGGCATAGGACATCTGGAGAGCTACAGCTTAGGAATCCTTCCTTTTGCTATGCTTCTCCTTTTATTTATTTTAATCTATACAAATGGCAGATGAAGTTGATCAAATCTACTTAGTTTTACAAGCATCAAATCTGGCACTGATTACATTTGGTGACATTCAGACACAGGAAAACAAGAATTCCCTGAGGAAAATGCAGAGGTTTTTTTTTTAAAGCAATCAGCGACAGTGAAGCAGTAGAATTATTAGACACAATGAAGAGAATGTCGTAACGAGAGTTTGCATTGTTCTGCACAAAATAAAATTAATAATAAAACAATAAAGAAGTTCCTTCAGAACTAGATGTTAAAAGCTTGTAGGTTCTTCTCAGGAGGTTTGGACTGTAAATTGTACAGCATTGTTTAAGGATGGCTTTTTTGTTGTTTTTTGTTTTTGTTTTGTTTTTTCTTTGGGGGAAGGAAAAATTATGTTTTATAGTTTGATGACTTGGCTGTCTGGAAACATTCCCAGAGTGATTCAGTGGAACTTCAAATGCCATGCAAGACAACATGAGACAACATTGTGGTTTAGAGAAGAAGCCAGTCTACATGGGTAGAATAAATCCTAAAACATATGGACATAGTCAGTCATGCGAATAAAGTAAGAATATTCATACACTGAGTAGAAAAAGTGAAGCTCGTTAGTGGAACAACAAAAATGGGAGAAGTTAAACCATTTTACACATTGCCAAATGTTAGGATTTGAAGGGAGTACTGATGCTATAGAACTCCACTGCCAGTGCCATTACAAGATAATAATAATATCCACTGTCATTTTACCCAGGGTCTCCTAATTTCAGAGAGGAGACAATCCAGTGGTTTTCAGAATATAATATCATAAATAAAGACAGAAAATAAAAGCACTGTCCAACAAAAAATGCATGATGAACACCAACTTTTAATTTGAAACAAGAGAGCAATAGGAAAGATGGCTTAATCAAGAAAGTCCACAGAGGAAACTAACAAGAAAATGAAAATGAGAGATTTTTTTCAAGAAGTTCAAAGAAACCACAGAGAAAAAAATTACAGTTAAGCTTGGGTTTTGGTTTTGGCCATTCAATCATGTCCAATTTGGAGACTGCCTGCAATTTTCTTGGCAACATTTTTTAGAAGTGGCTTGCCCTTACCTCCTTCCTAGGGCTGAGAAAGAGTGACTGGCCCAAGATCACCCTCCTGGCTTCATGTCTAAGGTGGGACTAGAATCCACATTCACCTGCTTTCTAACCAGATACTTAACTAACTACACCAAGCTGGCTCCCAAGCTTGGAACACTGAGGAATAATCCCAGAAGAGATGTAATAAACACAAAAAGATGCGGTATGGCAGCAGTAGACCAGCTATCAGATAGGAAAGCATCAGGTGTAAATGAAGTAAACCTTAAGCTGTATAAAGTTGCTGGAGATAAGATAAATTGACAACACATGAAATAAAACAATCTAGAGCAGGGGTGTCAAACTGCCGGCCCGCGGGCCAGACCGCGTCACGTGGAAGCCGCGCCCACCCCATTGCCGGCAATGGCAAAACCGGCCTGATACGTTGCGCAACGTCACGTGACGTCACGAGTTTGACATGCCTGATCTAGAGATTGAAAAAAGATCAGTTTATAGAGATTTCAGGGAATGTGCAATTTACCATCCTATTTCAATCATCTCTCTCTCTCTCTCTCTCCCTCCCTCTCTCTCTGTCCCTCCCTCCCTTCCTCTCTCTCTCTCTTTCTCTTTCTCTCCCCCCTCCCCATGACCCAGGCCAAACACAAAACCAGGTAGCTATGGAGAATGTAAAGAGGAGGGTTAGCTTTGCTTAATTAACTGCATTGTGGCCTTTGACCACATTGATTATCTTGGAATGTGTAATATACTAAAGTTCATAAGCACACAAAAACACCTGATTACTTTTAGAAGAAACAGCACAATGAACAAGAATCTACAATGAAAATGGAATTTGTACAGAATGATTCAGAACAGAAAAAGGAGTAAAATAAGGGTGCATGTTTTCCTCCTAGACCACAAATATAATTAGAAGTGATGATAGATGGAATTAGAAGTGATGATAGATGGAATTAAAATATGATGCTGAAGTGATAACAGTTGGACATACATAGTCAGCATCATGTACTTACTGTAGTCAATAGTAAAGAAATCTTCAAGAGCACATTCAGAAAGTAAAATAGAAAATAAAAAATCCATGTAAATGTTAAATACTGTGTTAAGAAGGTAAAGTTAACATCCCTGTTGTCCTATGGTTAACAATGAAGAATAAAAGGTGGTAAGCTTTGTTTTCTTAGGTTCAAAATTAGTAAAGAAGGAGAACTAAAGAAGATATTAATTACCATGAGATTCATTGTAGGAAGGAAGGCAATGACAGATTTAGGCATAATCATGCAATATATTTCGGTGAAAGCAAAGATGAGAGTGATTAAAACAATAGTATTTCTTGTCATAATGTATGGCTGGGAATACTGGACACTGAGAAAGAATGAAAAGGTGCCTTCAAAGTATAAATCTGGAGTTGGTTACAAAGAATACTGTGGATTGCAATAATCATGAAATAAATAAGCACTGACTCCTATCTTGAAGGGGACGGTGAGAAAGCAGAAACTCCCATAGTTTAGGTATGCAATGCTAGTGGATGATAGACTATTACAAATTATTCTGTGTGGTAAGTAGGAGAGGAAGATAATGGATAAATTGGTTGAATGGAATCAAAGAGATTTCATGAATGTCCCTGGAAGAGCTGCAGATTGTCACTAAAGCACATTGAAATGGCAAGCTTCTCTAT